TCATCATTTCTTTCTGCATTGGCATTTTTGACACCTAACTATTCTCCTATGTTCTGCGACTGGGGATCGCTTTCTATTTCGATGTATCTTCTATTTAGAACCTGACCACTTTTGTTCCAGTTTTTCCTGTTGGTAGTGTTTCTATCTTCTGTCCATTCTTCTGTATCTTGTATGAGAAGATCGCTTCTTATTTCTATATGTTTTCTATTCTGATTTTGGCTACTTCTTTCCCAGCTTCTTTCTCTTCTTCCTCTAAAACTTTCTTTTTTCTTTATTTTGTTTCTTCTTTCATTTAACCAGGAGACTTGAAAATTGTTGTATCTAATTGGTTTTGATTGGGCTGCCTTCATTTCTTTTTCTGTCGCAAATGTAACTATCGCTGTTCTTCTTTGATTTCTATTTCTGTTTGGTGGAATATATACCGATTTTGCACCTTTGCTTCTTAGGCAGCATAGCAGCAAGACTTCATAGGCATTGCCTGGCAGCTCTGTTATTTTTGCTGTATACTGACTCTGTTTTTGTCTTGCTTCATAATTCTCTTCACCTTCTGTTACTCTTACCAGTTTGTTACTGTTAACTGGTATCGACCATGGCATGTCTTCTTCTTCTGACTCTTTGACTTGGACTATTGCGAGAGACTTGTATTTGGATCTTTTGATTCTTATTATATATGCTTTTTTAAATCTTCTGCACATATATTTAATCTCTTTTCTGTTTATATCTGCTAGTAGAGCCCAGATTGTTATATATTTTTGTTTCTGTGTTTTCTCCTCTCTGATATTTATTTGGTCTTCTGTTAGCTCTCTTTTGCCTTCTTGTAGTTTATATTCCTTCTTTTTACATTTTGGTATATTGTCCTTTTCTTTTCAATAATCTTTATCATATGTTTTCCCTTTTCACTTCTTGTCTACTCTTTCTTCTTCTGCGATCATTCTGTACCAATCACTTTCTTTCTTACTGATTCTTTGTATTGCCTCACTTCGGCCATATTCACAGTCGAAGTCTACCTTTATCCAAAGGTTTTCTCTTTTGAAAACCTCTTCAATGTTCTTGACATGTTTGTTATTCTTTAGTGACCATCTAATAAAGTTCGTTCGTTCTTCTTTAGTCTTTCTAGGTACATTATGTGCTGATATGTTTGCAAGTAGGCTGTTATTTTGGTTGCAGCCTCTTTTGCTTGACACCTATATGCTTTCTTCAAGTGGTGCTTCCACTATATTGATTTCTCTTTTGATTTCTTGTTTTCTTCTTTTTTTCCTTTCTTTTTCTTCTGTTGTTGATCCCTGTCTTGATTCTTTCCCATTCATTTCTATGTTTTTTTGTTCCTCTTCTTTTCTCATATAGATGGATGATTTGACTTCTACTTGGTTATTATTTGTCTGTCTTACCTCTATATTTACGTTTTTCTCTGCTATTTTGATAATTGCTTGTAAACTCATGTTGGCCTCTTCATCCTTTTTACTTTTCCTTTTCATCTCTATCTTTAACTCTTTTTGCCTTTCTTTTATCTTATTAGTCTGTTGCTGTTCTTTTTTTTTCTCTGTATTTATTCTATCTTGGTACTGTTCTACAAAATCCAACTTCTTTTCAGGCAGTTCTTTTTCTGCTTTTTCTAGTATTTCTCTTGTTATTCGTAAAAGTGTCACTTCATTTGGATTCTGTCTTGTAGTACTGTGACAATATTGTTTTCTCTGCTAGGTATTGCATATGCTTTGCTTGTCTTATTAAAGAAAATTTTGTTGTGCATACTATTCATTGCCTCATATGCCCTTCTTGTAAAAATTGCATTAAGGCTTCCTCTGTATTCTTCTGACAAATTCCTATTCATGTTGCACAATTGTTTTCTATGTTTTTATGTTACATATTGTATCTGGATTAGGCTAGTTGGTGTACGTGTTTGTTTGTTTACTTTGCTTATACTAGTGCAGTTTCTTGTGTAACTTGAAGGATCTACAGTATAGGGGTTTGGCAGTTCGCCAGTTTTTAGAAAAAAAAATTTTTACTTTTCGTAAAAAGTTTTTTATATGCTGTTCTTTGTTGGCTTCAAGGCTTCTTTTTGTATTTTCTGTTAAATTATATGCAGTTTTTGTTGCTCTGTCTTTTTTGTTAGTATCTCAAGTCTTATTTCCTAGTCTATTTATTGAGTTTTACTAAATTTTGCTTCCTGGAGATTTTGGTCGAGGGATCTGTAGGAGAGAGTTGTTTTGTTCAATTTATAATATACAGTTTAATAATATATGATTATATAATATACTGTATATGTAAAATTATAAACAAAGCTTCCAAATAAGATTCATTAAATTATATATTTTTTATTTTCAAGTTAGTGTATATGCATAAGCTTTTAATATATTACATATAATTATTATATATATAAAATTTATAGCTACAAAATAATAATAAAATAAATATATTAGAATTATAGCAATATTGTTTTAGATAATAATTATAGAATTTAATAATATTAATAGAATTTTTGTAACTAAAAGTTTTATATAATAATTGTAGTATATTAATTTAAGTATATGCATTAATTTGAAAATGAAAAATATTTAATGTGATAAAATTAATTTAGTTTATTGTATACATATAGATTAATATAATATAACTATAATACAAACTTTTTATTTATGTAAATTTTATTAATTTTAATTAAAAAAGAGATTATTAATTTTGTAATATGTATTGTATATATTATAGTTATGAATTATATATTATAATTTCAGTATTTGTTGTTATAATATATAAATAATTATATCAGTTTTATGTATTACTAATTGAAACAATGACTTGTTTTTTTTATTTATTATCATATTAGCTATATAATAGTTATGCATTACATAGTAATTATAATACAAAAAAAAACACAATATAATTTATTACAGGTAAAAATTACCTGTAATGTAAATTAAAAATTTTGTTTTTATAATTATTATTTTTAAAAAATAAAATAAAATATTTTTTTTTATAATTGTTTTATTAACATCGCAGTACATTTTATTTTTTAAGCTTATTTTTTATTTTTTTTGTTATTTTTTTGTTTTTTTTTTTGTTATTTTTTTGTTTTTTTTTTTGTTATTTTTTTGTTTTTTTTTTGTCTAAATAATTATTAAAAAGAGTTTATTTTTTGATTTTTATTTAAAATTTTAAATAATAATTATACAAATTTATTAATATAAAAAATTAATATTTTTCAACTTTTTTTAATATAAATATACTAGAATTTGTGAATTTAAGTTTATTTGCCAAATCTAACACTGATCTAAAATATATCAATACGTATGTAATACGTAATTAAACGTGAACTGCAAAGACTTTGAACTTTTAAAATAGTTAAAAGCTACAGTTCAATCACTTTTACAACACTAATTTTAACTACGCGTCGGGTATGTTTCGAATTAGGACTAAGTTTAGCAAATAAAGTTAAAGTCTGGTTTTTCTCCTGACAGCCCTTATATTGGCACATCTATGCTAACGCTAAAGCCTAACCAAAACCTTAATACGTAATCTATATTGATTTTCATTAACAGGGGAGTGGCAATATTAAAAAAGGAAGTAGAAATAACAAATTCCTTAAAATGATAGCAATAGGTCAATGTAGATTACGTAATCACTATGGTTGAACAGCAGTAAAGTTAATTAATAATTAATAATTATCGTATCATTCTATTATATATGTTTAAATTAATATTGTTGTATTGACAAAGGATTTTCATAAAAAATAAACACATTTTAACAATAAGTTTGCATTCTACGTACAGTAAGACTAAAATGTTATTTAGAACAAATACGTTGTATGTTTAATACGTACATAGGTATGTATAAAGTTTAAGAATCTGGTACGTGCTCATAAATTATGTACGTAAAAAGTTATGAAGGACTGAGAAAGTCTGAATATTCCGATTAGGAGAACCATTTTGAGGTTTTTTTAAAGTCAACATTACTGATAAAGACAGTTGAACTGATATAGAAAGAACGGCTTTCATCTTATTCTAAATCAAGAAATTTTTATGCATAAGTACATACGTATCATACTGTTTCATCACTACAGCACTATGGAAACTATGGAGAACTATTCAACATCGCTATCTCATTAACCAATAACACGTGATTGAAGCACATGTATCTATTTAACAAGAATCCTTGTTAACTAATTTAGATAGTTAGGGGACGCGCTACATACCGATACATGCAACTTTTACGTACGTACAACTTCATGTTATATAATACTTTAAACCAGTTATGTACATCATTAATTTAGTAAATATTTAGTAAATAAAATATTTCTAATAGTGGATATGATTTTCGGATAAAGGGTATATAAACTTTTGTTTAAAAAAAAAGAACTGATCTAATAATGGACAGGATTTACACAAAAAAAAAGAAAAAAAAAATTTTTTTTTTTGAAGACAGTTTCATTAAAACGAGATTAAGTGATGCGGCGGTTAGAAACTCCGAATTATCCGATCATCATTAGGGTTAGGAAAACCAAGAAATGTATTTGTTATACAATAAAGGTATACAAGTCATATGATAAGTCAAAAGGTTATTATCATGGGGATTATCGGAGAGATTTTACCAATTTGCGAGTCAGAAAAAGGCAATCATGGAAACACATACACAACACATTGTTTTCTACGATCCTGCGAATTGAACTTTGTGGATTAAAATTGGTACGTTGAATGAATAAGCATGCAAGGGAATAAATTTAGACTAGATGACACAAAGAATTCCATGAGAAACAGTACGCAGTATTTTTTTTTATAAATAGGAGTTTGATGAGAATAATTTTTTTTTTTTTTTTTTTTTTTTTTTTTTTTTACTGATGACTTTCTAACCGTAATTGTTGATTCAAAAAAAAATAATATATATATATACAAATTGAATAATAAAATTATATACAAATTGAATAATAAAATTCAAAAAAAAACTACAACCATACAACCATACAATCATACAATCATACAATCATGAAACTTTCCAACGATGAACGACGCCAAATGATTGAAACAGAAGTAGATATTGCCAAGAAACAGGTAGTTAAACAAGAATCAACAACACCTTTGGAAGTAAAGGTTTGTGAAGAAGACAAGAATTCAAAGATAGTTAAAACATGCGATGTGTGTACCGAAGAAATTGAAACAGTATATAATTTAGAATGTGAACATAAATATTGTCAAACATGCTTACAGAGGTTATTTACGGACCCAACATACGTTTTTCCTATTAGATGTTGTAACAAAGAGATTAGTTTAGATTTTGTTATTAACATACTTACACCTGAAGAAACGCAACCGATAATTCAAAGAGCTGGAGAAGCTTCACATAGATTATTCTGTCCAACTCCAGGATGTGAACGGCCTATTCATGTTACAGCAAAATCCGAAATATCGGCATGCCCAGATTGTAGGAAAGATATTTGCGTTAAATGTAGATCTCATGCGCATCCTAATAAAAAGTGTTGGAAAGGGAAAAATGAAAAACGATTTAAGAAGATCACGGAAAAACGCGGATGGCGTCAATGTACAGTTTGTGGGGTTTTTATTGAACGGAGAGGAGGGTGTAAAAATATTCATTGCCCTTGTGGCAACACTTTTTGTTATCATTGTGGCAAACAAATTTGTAAATGTATAATTGGTAGAAGTTGGGCAAGAAAGATAAAACAAACATTCTGGAAAGTCGTAGGATTTTAGTTTTGAACAACATTATTTAAATTATATGGGCATAATATTCAATTGGACAATTTTTTCTGTTGTACATAACATTTCCAGTTATCGTTATCGTTATGGGTATAGTCCATATTTTATAATTAAGCAGACATTCGGCGTTAGTGTTAGTGTGAGAAAATATTCCAGCTTCTAACTTGCTTTACAGATCCTCTCTTTAATCACACTTATCACCCTTATCACATTCATGTACTATTTTTTCAGTTAATTGATTTTATAAAGTTTTTCTTTTTTTTTTGACATTTGGAATCAAGTCGAGATATGACTCGAATATTCTCGAATATTGATTTGAATTTCCAAATTATACACCTACCATGTCTTCAATTCATCTCACGAATAATTAACCATTTAATTTGGCTGGCATTAAAATAATTCCGGCCCACGACCAACATAATTCTACCAGAAACTATGGAGCAATTTTTAAACGGTTCTAATCCCTACTGCAAAATGAATATCGGTCTTAAAATAGCATGGAAACCCAGTTTTTATTAGATATAAAACAGCTAATTAAATTGGAAACTTTATTTATATCCATAAAATGATTCCGAAAGAGTTAAAAAACTTGAATGGCTGGTTATGATCATATGATTTACCAATTTACCATTATTGTTTATCGTAACATGTCGTGATTTAGTCGATATGTTTACAGGATTTATGTACGCATTAGGTAATGTATTAATTACTCCTTAAGTAAATATTTACTGTATGTTGTGAGAACAGAATTAAGATTTTAGGTTACGTTGGCGTAGTTTTGTGTACGTACATAGTATAAGTTCTAACCTATATCTGATATCTGATTTAATGTTCTATACGTATAAAGTTCTATTTAAAATTCTTACTACATATACTCAAATTATACACATTTTTGAAATTTCTAATTTTAAATTTAAGACTGAGAATTCTTCGGTTATTGGGTAATGCAATAACTGATAATAGAATACGTATTCAATAAACGAAATATCAATTAGGACCTTGTGTTAAATGTATACAGTTATATATATGGGCTAGGTCTGAGAAAAGGCAATTTTTAAAAACTAATCCAAAATTAGTCTAGAAATCTTTTTCACTCTGATGTTAATAAAATGTTGCAATACGTAATATTCTTTAATGTTTATTTTCCTATAACCTATACGTAGAATTTAATAATATAGAAATCAATTTTCTATATATTGTATAAATAAGAAGTAAAGTCACGTTCCTGTACATAAATAATCATTTCGTCTTTGAATAATTCATCTGATTAAATAATTGTGGCGTTTTAAAGCTTTTTTTCCCATGGTTTTTTTTTTACACTTTATAATTTACCATGGGCCCTGTCATTATCTCATGTCATGATGTCATTATGACGTAAAATATAGTTTTAATCTCATAAACTAATCAATCAATCAATCAATATACTTTTAAGAAATTTTATTTACTTATTTATGTAATTAAAAAACGTGGTCATATCAATGATTTACGGAACATATCATTATCAATATGGATCGTACGTATCAAAATTTTTCCTGATAGAATTCAATAAAATTATATAAAATTAGAAATTATCCCTATTGAGAAATTCTTTACAGTTATTATTGATAATCCGGTTTATTCGGGTAAATTATTATTTATTCGGTTCTGATTCAAAGTTGATTTGGATTTCTTTTTAGTTACCTATGAATTACTATATAAAAAGATTTGGGTATATGTTTATAAATAAACATCCGGGTCTGGTTAATGCGTTACCAACCTAAAAAATTTCACTGGCCAATCAGATTTCAAGATATTTCAAGATCAGGTGTTAAACTACCTTCTGCGCATTAATAAAATGTTTTCCTTGCTAAATTTTGATATTAGGAAATCTCTTTTTTTAACCTAAATTAATAGCAAAATCTAACACTAATCTAGCAGCGAAATTATTTTGGCGAAATTTTTTAGGTTGGGAATGCTATGTCAGTTAGTTAATGCTGTCAGATCAAGAATGATGTAATTTTGGTCGGCATTAACGTTAAGAAATTAAACAAAAAATGTTCTCTGATTGGTTATTTTCTTTATCATGTGCATAAACAGAGGATTGTATATTTCGTACGTCGAAATAGATTATTGTGAATTTAGAATCTACTTAAATTGGAACGGAATTCTAAACGCAGAGCAAGTTAATACGAAATTTAAAAGCAATCTAAGTTGATTCTAAATTTGATAAAAGCAATCTAAGTTGATTCTAAATTTGATAAAAGCAATCTAAGTTGATTCTAAATTTGATAAAAGCAATCTAAG